TACATACTTCTGGCTACATAATTCGCAATCTACAGAAATGTATATAGAGCTATGTTTTCAGAATGAGCCTGCGTTAGATTTTTTTGGAATGTGTTATAGTACACTAAAATTCATAGTTGGATCAACAATCAGGTTTCAAAAATAAAAACTTGTAATTTTTTGTGAGGGAAATGTATTTTTAAAAATAGCCGATGTTCTTAACACATGCTTTGTTCTACCAACCTTTTTGCAAGAACTCAACTTATTTTAAAAATGTTGATTAGTGCAATTTGTGCAGATAAACTACACTACCCATGCTACTGCTGTAAAGAAAGTCCACCAATTAGAGTCGCACCAAACAAATGGAGGTCCTTAGCTCCACCCATTTCCACAAAGCACCATGATTTTAGATATCAGCAACAACTCCAAATCCATGTTCAAGTTTAATTCTTAATGTGTGGTTCAAGTTCTGCAAACATTTTAAAGGCAAAAAGGTCCACTTTGTAATGGAAATAGCATGGTGATGTGTGAAGCACATTTCACACAGAAGCTTTTTTTTTTTTCAAAAGAAGCAGTTTTCTCTCTGTAACCGCAGCCAATGAATGTGAAAAATCAACAGTAAATATAACCACACCTTTATTTAGGTATATTAAAAATTAAATTATGCATAAGCAATAACAGCAGGGTTGTGTCACTTAACATATGCTATTAATAATATAATAGGAAATGCAAAAGGCTTAATACCTTATTCATGACAATCATTTTGATGAAATTCTTAGAATAGCAAATGTTACATTACTCATACCTTGAAGGAACTGATCTTATTCCCTGAGAGGTTTAGATTTTGGAGATTGCAATTAGGATCCAGACTATGACCTCAGAGATAAACAGGGAAATATTAGAGAATTAATTGACAGATTCTGAATGTGTGTATGTATTCTAATATAATAATACTAAAATTAAACGCAAAAATTGGTGTTTTACACTTTACCTACCAAGAGTTTCGATAGCATTGTCAGCAAGATTCATCTCCTCGAGGTTTACAAGTGAATCCAGTCCCTGTGGAAAAAAGGTGTAAAACACTGGTGTAGATATTGCAGCACATTTACAGTGTCTCAAGAAATAAACATTAGCTACCTGTATGTCAGAAATCTGGTTCTTATTTAGCCACAGAACGCAAAGATTGACTAACATCTCTAGATTTGTGATCTGGTGAATGTTGTTGTCGTACAAAAATAACTTCTCCAAATGCAAACAGTTATGTAGGCCTGAAATCTCCTACAACACACCAAAAAAAAAAAAAAAAAAAAAAAAAAAAACTGGTTAATCCATTAGTCATTATTAATTCAGACATCAGACATGTGAAACTTATAATAAAATATTAGTCATTCTGGGATCACACTGAAATACAGTTCCAGAAATGTTTGTTAAGATCTTTCCTGTAACTTACATTCAACTTGCACTCCACTACCCATAATTCTCTAAGGAGCGGGCAATACTCCAGGCCTTGGATTGAGCTGATGCTTTGGCCTACAATTGTAAGGCTGGACAGTCTGGGGAAAAGAGAAAGACCCACCATGCGCGGGAAACCAGAGAAAAACATCTCCAAAACTATTTCACCACTGCCCTCCTGACACACCTTCTCATAGGAGAGTCCATTAGACACACACTGAGGAAATAAACAGAGCACAAACAAGAGACTAAAAGCACACCACATATTTACACTGTAAATGTGGCATAACTTTGTAAATTAGTGTTTAATCTTGTTCGAGGTGACATGAATACATTTACACAATATATGATTAAAAACCATCTTCACGTAGCTAAGACTGTTAAGACTGATCTGTCTCCTTAATGTTTGTACAATATGCTTTGCTTTGTTTTACATATATATGAAAAAAAAAAGATTCAATGAAAACACGCAATGCCGCTTAAAAGTTGAAAAAGCAAATTATTCCACATCTGAACCTGTACAGTCCTAAAAATTAAAGCCATAATTGTTGTATAAAGCATTCACGGCATTCCAGAAGTGCTTCTGTGCCACCTTTTAAATTATTATTATTATTAATAATATTATTAGACATTTTGAAGAGGCACAGAGGAACCTTAAATCAGCTATGGTTAGTTTAATTCCTGTAGTTGACACTTTTCTAAATTAATAAAAATTAGACAATTTTCTAAATTTCTAATTCAGTATCAAATTATCAGACCAAAAATGACAAAACTTACCAGCTCTTTTATAATGTCTTCATCTCCATTTAGTCTCTGTTTTTCGTTTTGTGTCATGATGTCCTTAAAACAATCATTTTTAAATGCTTACAAACATTCAACAAATGTAAATGAACGAAAATACAGTGCATCCGAAAAGTATTCATAGCGCTTCACTTTTTCCACATTTTTTATGTTATAGCCTTAATCCAAAATGGATTAAATTAATTTATTTCCCCAAAATTCTACACACAATACCCCATAATGACAATGTGAAAAAAAGATTTTTTAAGTTGTTGCAAATCTTTTTAAATTGAAAAAAAAAAAAAAAAAAAAAAAAAAAATCACATGTACATAAGTATTCACAGCCTTTGCAGTGAAGCTCTAAACTGAGCTCAGGTACAATCTGTCAATTGGAGTTCACCTGTGGTAAATTCAGTTGATTGGACATGATTTGAAAAGGCAGACACCTGTCTATATAAGGTCCCAGGGTTGACAGTGCATGTCAGAGCACAAACCAAGCACGAAGACAAAGGAATTGTCTGTAGACCTCCGAGACAGGATTGTCTCAAGGCACACGGCTGGGAAAGGTTACAGAACAATTTCTGCTGCTCTGAAAGTTTCAATGAGCACAGTGATCTCCGTCATCCGTAAGTGGAAGATGTTTGGCACCACCAGGACTCTTCCTAGAGCTGGTCGGCCATCTAAGCTGAGTGATCGGGGAGAAGGGCCTTAGTCAGGGAGGTGATCAATAACCCGATGGTCACTCTGTCTAAGCTCCAGCTTTCTTCTGTGGAGAGAAGAAAACCTTACAGAAGGACAACCATCTGTGCAGTAATCCACCAATCAAGCCTGAATGGTAGAGTGACCAGACAGAAGCCACTACCCGCCTGGAATTTGCCAAAAGGCATCAGAAGGACTCTCAGACCATAAGAAACAAAATTCTCTGATCTGATGAGACTAAAATTGAACTCTTTGAAGTGAATGGCAGGCGTTTCGTTTGGATAAAACCAGGCACGTCTCATCACCAGGCTAATACCATCCTGGCAGCATCATGCTGTAGGGATGTTTTTTGGCAGAAGGAACTGGAAAATTAGTCAGGAGGGAAAAAGGAATGCAGCAATGTACAAAGACATCCTGAACGAAAACCTGCTTCAAAGGAGGCCGTCTCTGGAGAGATCTGAAAATGGCTGTACACCTCACTTCCCATCCAATCTGATAGAGCTTGAGAGGTACTGCAAAGAGGAATGGGCAAAAATTCCCTAAGACATGCGTGCCAAGCTTGTGGCATCATATTCTAAAAGACTTGAGGCTGTAATTGCTGCCAAAGGTGCACCAACAAAGTATTAAGCAAAGGTTGTGAAAACTTATGTCCATGAGATTTTTATTTTTGATATATTAGCAACAATTTCAAATAATCTTTTTTCACATTGTCATTATGGGGTATTGTGTGTAGAATTTTGAGGAAACAAATTAATTTAATCCATTTTGGAATAAGGCTGTAACATATACTTTCCGGATGCGCTGTAAAGTTACTTATTCACTATTAATAATGAATACAGTCGTTGTTGTAGCTAAACATTATAACGTTAGCTAATACAATGTATTCATATTTTTCTCAAAAACGTGCTTAGTTTATACTGAACAGCTACATATTTCTACAATGCTGAAGAAAAAAATAATAGTTAAAATAATAACTTAAGTACACATTTCCTTGATTTTAATTGTATAAATGAATATTGACAGTAGAAAAATCTTCACCTATTTTTGTATTACTGTAACATCCAGATCAAGTCAAATTCCTTCACACGCCATGATTTAGCACTACAAATGACACATCAGTAAACACTTCACCACAATGTTCAACAACTGCATGATGCCTATTAAGTGTAAACATACCTTTAAACAGTAAAACACATCAATTTCCAGTATGGAGCCGTACTTGTAATGAGTTTCCTTTTTATTTGCTCTCTGCAATGTTTACATCAGGCCGTTGCTAAGGAAGCGCTGCTCGCCGGTGTTTGGGTCGGGAAGCCCTGTTTGTATGTGCTGTTGTGCGCCAGAAGATGGTGCTAAAGCATCATCCGAGTTACTCAGCGTAAACGGCATACTCAAGTTAAAATCCAGTAACATACATGGCTTATATAATTTTTTTTTTAAATATATAAGTAATTAATTTGATAACAAATAAAAATAATGATCATCCACGTGTGGCACAAACATGCCAAAAGCGTGGATACGAATGTCGACAGCTAACTTATATAAACCATTACATATTAATTAGTGATAAATAAAAATAGCACTAAACATAGTTTGTCATTTGGGGTTCCTTCACTGTGAATGCATGAATGAACGAATGGTTGAATGAAATTGACAAATATAAAAATAACATTAAGAATAAAAAATAATAAAATAATTAATAATAACGAAATAATAGCTATATATATTAGGCTAAAATAACAAAAGTTTGCCATTCGAAGTGCCTTTTTAAAATGTCCAATTTAAAAATAAATGTCTCGATTATATGCATAAATATTTTTAAAATGCTAATAGAAAATAAAATAATGAAGAATCATTTTCTGTGAAAACTTACGTCAAATAGTAACAAATTCTGTAATTTCAAGCAGAAACAGTCAAAAAAACGCAATGTTATCAATCTTTTATTAATCCTTAGACGTATTTTGCTTATATTGAAACAGACCCGCCCATTTATAAACCACTATATATTGTTTTAAATGTGCACTCTGATGTAGCATGAGCCACGCCCGTGGTGTGGAGGCGCGCGCACACGGACCGTCCTCTAACCGGAATGTCGCTCTCCGTCCTAAATCCGTGCCAACCGCGAGCCGCACAGATACAGTGACGTCAGCTCCGAGACACTGAACCAAACACATCAAGCCCACTGGCTCCGCTGCTGCGAGACGGGAAGCATCGGTCAGGATCGGCCATATTAAGCGTCACGTCTTTCAGATCTCGCTGAATCGTTCTCGCTTCGGAAACAAGCTCTCCGCGTGCGACTACTGCAAGCATGTCCGCCAATTCAAACGAGGGGCCGGGTTTGGATGGGAAATGGTTCGAGGAGGAGGAGGAGAAGAACGGGATGTTTGGGAGCGCAGGGCCCCATTTCGACGAGATGCGGGACGATCTGCGTGCGCCCAAGCAACAATTCCATCCCTTTGAAGGAACCGGCGTTGCCATGGAAACTGCATCTACAGGTAAATTTGGGCTTTTTATAAATGGCCATTGTGTGTTTTAGCGACGACACCCATGATTTGTTGTGCCGGGGACGAAAGAAAAGAAGAGTCTGAAGAACAAGATGATGATGATGTTGAGTTGGAGATGAAGAGAGACAGAGCAGGCCATGGGTGTGACAGCGCCTGCATGTCTGCATACACACACGCGCGCGTAATGTACTGTGCTAGTTCACACAACATGATCTCACAGTAAAACAAACAACAACATTCTGACGCTATTGTGTAACGGTTTTTGGAATTAAGCAGGGGTGTTGACGGAACTCTCGGGGTGATGACGTGTTCATAAAGCAAGCAACAATAATGTAATCATCATTTCTTTGTCTTTGTGCTCATCATGTCTGACTGCACTCTTTCTTTCTTTCTCCTCGACCGGTCTCCCTGTTCTGGCTCAGTGATTGGGTATTGTCCACCCCTCTAATTGACCACTTCATGTAGCACAGCAGCACTATGAAAAACTTTGTGAATATGACAGTTCATACAGTACTGGCAACAATGGCACAATCTTCAAATCAAAGTCAGACCTTAAAGGATCACATAAGAAATAATAAATATTTGGCTAAGATTAAACAAAAAATGCTGGGCGTCATGGTGGTGCAGTGGGTAGCACGATATCCTCACAGCACGAATGTCACTGGTTCGAGCCTCGGCTGGGCCAGTTGGCATTTTTGTGTGGAGTTTGCATGCTCTCCCTGTGTTCGCGTGGGTTTCCTCCGGGTGCTCCGTTTACCCCCACAGTCCAAAGACATGCGATACAGATGAATTGGGTAGGATAAATTGGCCATGTATGAGAGTGTATAGATGTTTCTCAGTGATGGTTTGCAGCTGGAAGGGCACCCACTGAATAAAACATATGCTGGATAAGTTGGCGGTTCATTCCGCTGTGGCGACCACAGATTAATAAAGGGACTAGGCCGAAAAGAAAATGAATGAATGAATGGAAAATTGCTACAAATTAGCATGAGGTGTTGTCAGACCTGCTGCTTTAATCTGCTGTTTAACATGAACATGTCGTATGATGCTGTTTTAATTATTTCATTGCCCATAGGATACATAGTATAATGCTAAAAAAAACATACTGTACATAAAAAATGCACTGCGGCCTTTGTCTTTCTGAAACTCTCTGATTGAGTTGCGATTTCTATGAAGGGCTTTAAGTGCTCTGATTGGCTAACTGACCAAGTGCATTGTGATGCCAACTCTGATGGCGCAGTGGGTAGCACGATCACCTCATCAAGAAGGTGGCTGGTTTAAGTCCCGGCTGAGTCAGTTGGCATTTCTGTGTGGTGTGGAGTTTGCATGTTCTCCCAGTGTTCACATGGGTTTCCTTCGGGTGCTCCGGTTTCCCCCACAGTCTAAAAACATGTGGTACAGGTAAATTGGGTAACCTAAATTGGCCATAGTGTATGTGTGTGAATGCAAGAGTGTATGAGTGTTTCCCAGTTTTGGGTTGCAGCTGGAAGGGCATATGCTGCGTAAAACATATGCTGGATAAGTTGGCGGTTCATTCTGCTGTGGTGACCCCTGATTATTAAAGGGACTAAGCAGAAAAGAATATGAATAAATGAACCTAATCGATTTGTGTTGGGACAACATGAATGAATTGTGTGGAATCCTGCATTTGTTTACAGTGAAGAGAGGATACATCTCTTTTGGTAAAGATACAGCCTCTTTAAATCCTTAATAAGACATTAAAATTCAACTTAGGACTCATCATTAGTATTTTAACTTTTTTCTTCCTGTTTTAAAGGGACACCTGAAAACAAATATAAGCATTTACTCATCCTTAAGAGGTTTAAAACCAAAGAAGACATTATAAATGATGTTGGGTCCTATCCACAGTAGGCATTGGCTGGTATGATAACCTTGGATAAAATTATCACGGTTTGACAGTATTGTGATTGTGATTTTTAAATGTCTGGGTAAAAAAACTAAAACTTTTTCCCCTTTGAACATGATATATTTTATTTTGAGAAATATATAAAGTATTTTGAAGCAGTAAACATGTCAGGCTGAATAATTCAAATGAATCATTGACTTCTGCTGTCATTTTTTCGGCTGGAGAGACTGTTGTTCTAAAAAAAAAAAAAAAGTCTTACACATACCAAAGGAATGGTACAGCAGAAAATTTGAGCAGTTTTAAAACCTTAACTTTTCCAATCCACGGTATACCTTAAAAACGTTTATCGTCCCATGCCTAATCCACAGTAGAAAAAAAGACACATCATGAGATAGTGGCTACAAGTTTTCATCAATTTTCATAATATCTTTTTTTTTTGTTCAAGATTTAACAGATTTAGAACAAATGGAGGGAGTGCAAATGACGGAATTTTCATTTTAGGTTGAACTAACCCTTTAAAATATACACTTAGTGTTTGGCACCATCTATAATGTTTTACAAAGAAAAGAGCAGTTCCTGAAAATGATATTCACTCCAATGACGACTCCAGTAACATCAGAAGCCTAATCTATTTTACATGGAGCACCACCTCAGGGGTGAGATCACATCAGATCACATGACCAGCCAAATAGGGCCCATTTTGTCTTGGTAAACCCCTGCCGTTGGACACTTTCACTGAGTAAATGCATTATGGCTGTGCTTGAACTGAACATGTTCAAAAACATTGGAAACAAAAGCATTGCTGCAAATCCAGCATGTGAGATGAAAAGTGAATAAAATTGTATTACTCTCAAAAAAATGACATTTGCTGTTTGTTTAAACTGTTAATTTAAAATGAGCTAAACAAAACAATTCATGATTTTCTTTAGAATAATTTGGGACAAATTAATTGTTTGTGCTTAATACTACACTCTCAGAAATAAAGGTACGCGGGATGTCACTGGGGTGGTACCTTTTCAAAAGTTACAAGTTTGTACTTAAATATTGGAACCTAAAAAGTATTTATTAGTACCTAAAAAATTGTACTTGGCGACGCAGTGGCGCAGCAAGTAGTGCTGTCGCCTCACATCTAGAAGGTTGCTTTGAAGCTCGTTCAAGCCTTGGCTCAGTTGGCGTTTTTTTGTGGAGTTTGCATGTTCTCCCTGCGTTAGCATCGGTTTCCTCTGGGTGTTCCGGTTTCCCCCACAGTCCAAAGACATGCGGTACAGGTGAATTGGGTAGGCTAAATTGTCCGTAGTGTGTTTGTGAATGAGTGTGAGCCAATCACATAGCAGTAATATGCAACAACAGGAATCTGTAGTTGTGTTAATATTAGATATTCACTAAATGTTTGGTCGCAGAAAATTATCGACTGAAAATAGGTCATGCTGCATCATCCAGTATTGTTTGTTTAGCACGCTTGTTTCACACTTACTCTTTTAAAAGTCGAAGCATTAACAGCATATATCGAAATATGTATCATTACCGTTCAATAAAGAAAATAATTATCAAGACAGCATTTTTGCCATATCACCCAGCCCTGCTCAATCCATTTAAAATTGTAAAAACTTAATTGTTCATGTTGTCCCAACACAAATCGCTTGTCTGGAACCCAGCATTGCTTACAATGTAAGACGTTTGTTGTTATTATTAACCCCCCCCACCCCAGTTTGAAAAGTGGGTGGGTCCAACTCTATTTAGGTGGGAGTGTCGGGGGAGGAAAAGGGTTTGCACAAAAATGGAGAACGCACTGATTTTCACAGAGGCAAAACAACACTCAAGACGCAGGGGAGAAAAACAGTGACAATGTTTACATCAGTAATCGAATTATTTGCCAAATTATTTGCCAAATTCGTTGATTTTAGCTGCAGTAAAGCACTTTCACTTTCATTCAGGAACATTTCATGTTTCCACTGAAATATATGTGTCCTATAAGTGTTTTTAGCAGCGTGAGACACATGTATGACTGTCAACATCTCAAAAAATGTGTTTTGGTGTTTTGTGACCCTTTAAAGCAAAATGAAAGAAAGGCATGCTAGACCCAGATTAGTTTAGAGGACACCATGTTGTGTGTATTTTGTCTCACCTTTAAAAATGATGATAATGTAGCTATAAACAACATCTGACTGTGCAGCTTGATCTCATGAGGAAACGCAAGTATTTTACGTTTTGTCAGTTTAGTGGCTATTCATACGAATTCGTACGAGTTCAGTCGTACAAAAATGTACGATTTTAAAAAGGAGGCGTGGCACCTAACCCCACCCCAACCCCAACCGTCATTGAGTGATGAGCAAATCGGACTAAATTTTACGAATTAGATTGTACAAATTCATACGAATTAGCCACTAACTCAAAAAGTTACGGATTGCCGTGAGATTGTGTTGAACTGTGACATTAGCCTGCATGCTAAATCTCCATTGTTTATTTTCTGAACTCTTTCTGAGTATTTCTAAGCTGCTAAAACTAAATCCTCCCTGACCAGTAATAACAGTGAGTTTATTAAGATAAGACAGTCTGGCATCTTGCAGGCTGACTCCTAAACCTCAGACTCTGCTGTGGATGTAATACTGGACAACAATAAAGCACAGAACCACCTTATCCAGAAGGAAGTGTACATGGTTGGAGTTCCAGAAAGGCAGACATCCAGGCACTCATCGTAGTGCTTTAATTGTACCCTATGCTACAGCGTTTAATGTGCTTTTAGTGTTTCATGGATCGATCTGGCAGATAAAGTAGCGACGTATCTATAGAAACCCTCAGCAAAGACACTGTTATGTGTGCACCCTATTACATACGTAGCATGTAAAAGACACATGCACTAAGCTTTTTTTTAAAAACTAAATCAATCACAGCTTGTTTTCAAAGCTTTATCACATTAGTTGTCAGTTTCTGCTTCTGCAGGTGCTTCTCAGTCCATTAAGAGTCTGATTGAGACGCCATTATGGCTCAGAGTACTATTATTAGCAATGGGGAAACTGGCCATGCACAAAACGCACATGCATACGCCCATGCACAGCCTTTCTCACATGCTCAAATATTCATGAGCTGGGGCCTAGAATCCCTCAGCTCCCCCGTGCACTGGCTA